CTCAATACATTGAGGATCTTAGAAAAGGTACAGCCAATTAGGTGAGCTCAAGTTTAATTCTGCTGGTTGCTAAGAGGAAGTCATTGTGCAACTGTTTTGCAAGAGCATTGGAACTGGTAGAACAAGATACGCAGCATGTGGAAGTGAAACTGAAGAGATTAAAGAACAGTTTGGGTTGTTGTTGGGTCTTCTTTAATTACCTTTTTAAGACAGTCTACTTTTTTTTTAAACTTTAAATAACAGTATGGAGAAGGCCTCCTCTCTTAGAGGTAGCAAATAATCCTCTGTCATGCATAAGCACACTTACGAGAACAAGGCAGGTATGAATTTTCAGGAGACAAACCAAGCTGCACAGAAAAGACAGCAGATGGGAGATGAGAGATGGAGAACAGGTTCTGTAACTAGGGGCCCTGTTCAAAGCGAGTCAAGAGAGGTCTCAGCGGCTAACTCACCAGGTACGTGTTGTACATCAACAAAGCCTTCTCTGTTGAATGAAAGCCTCCTTCATCTTTGCCTCTAACCTCCATTCCTTCCTCACCACAGCAGAGGGATTTGCTTTTCAGAGAAGGAAAATTTGAGAACACACTCACTTCTTCTATGGATTCAGAAAATCACAGAACCAACTAGAGCCCAAGCCCTCGCTGTTCCCAGCAGGCCAGACCCTTCACTACAGCAGATGTCACATGGGTTTTATGAAAACCCTGTATGAAGTTGGTATCTCTGCTTCGGAGGTGAATAGTTCTTCCTACTGACACAAACCCTGAGCTCTGAGTCTGCCCTTCAGAAGCTTTTCTTCAACATGAGAATCTGTAAGCAGTGAAATAACAGCCACAGTAACGGATTCTTTAGAGCTTTCCACTCATTCAGCCCATTCCTGTGCATATAGCTAGTAAGCAAGGAGCTGCTGCTTGCAAATACCCAAGCCATCATGAATTATTCTTATACAGGGGCCCCAAGATCACTTGGGACATAACTGCTGACCAGTGAACAACCAGGAGAAGCTGTCACCACAGTTTCATTGAACTGGGCAGACTGATAACTGAGATACCTAGGTCTTTTCAATCCTCCCCTCGGATATGGATAACTACTCCTATCAAGTTTTAGGTCCAAACTGTGAAAGAAATTATCATTTCACACTTTTTTCTCCTCATTTCAGTACACCTTCACGTTCCTTTTGCGTTTCCCTTACCTCCTCCAAAGCAGCAGGC